CAGTGCTGAATAAGCCTTTCCTTGCCCGGAGACCTTTGTGCTTGTGATCAGCAATAAAAGGCCGCACTGGAATTTAAAACCTCAGCCAGGTAAAATACCACAGATGATTATTTAAAAGGCTTTAAATAAAAAAATAAAACTGCCAAAACCCTCTGGCTGTAAGAGTCAGCTTTTCACATTCACATTGTATGGCTGTGGACTCATGCCTGGGTTATGAAAGAAGCCCAAAATAAGATGAGACATAATAAAACACAAGCTGGGCTTAAGCAAGGATGGATTTCTGACAGCAGTTCACAATGTTTTAAACGCTAGCTGCAGACTCATATATTTCCAAGTTTAATTGCACAATTCCCAGCGACTTAACGTTACAAAAATTTACATATTTCCACGCTCAGAATTTGAGAAGCTCAAACAACGAGAAACTTTTGTTGACATATAAATGATTCAAAGAAAACAGGATTTTTTTTCAAAAATAAGTCACTGGCAGCAGATGACTGACATCCTACATGTGCTGAATATATCCTCTACCTCCAAGCTCTTGTGCTGTGAATTCCTTTCTGTGCTGTGTTTCTATGATCCTGATTTTAACTTACAAGGTGAGAACTACAGAAAAATAGATACATAAATAAATACAGAGGAAAATTTGCCAGATGTGCCTTAACACGCTTAGACACATGCAGGGACTGAAAAATAAAAAAACATTATGAGTGAGAGGACCAAAACTTCAGATGGGATAAGCCAGCCCAGGGAGTGAAGGCAGTTGATTAGCGAGGAATGAAGAGGAAGAGTTGGGACTGATGGACACTGAAGGCAGGGGGGAGTGAAGCCCAAATGGCACAATATATCTACTCATGTACTTGGGAAGACTTGAGTTTCTGCAACTAAAAAAGAGGACACTGAAAACTGAAGTCCTCAGCAATGTCACTGTTCACAAACATGATCTTCATTTTTTGACTTCTGGTAGAATCAATATTCAATTTCTCAAAATAATAGCATGCACTCTTAGAAAAGAAGACTGCTAATTCCAGATAAGTTAAAGCTTGGCTTTATGTTGTTTTCTTCTGGAGCATTATCCCACTCAAGTTCATCTTTCAGAAATGCTGACACAAGCCACAAAGACTTTATGTTATTTCAGAAAATAGTTCTTTTTTTCTTTTCTTTTCTTTTCTTTTCTTTTCTTTTCTTTTCTTTTCTTTTCTTTTCTTTTCTTTTC